GTTGATGCATGTGGTTACAGCTCACTCATTTTCACTACTCTAAGGTATTCCAATGTATGAGTCGGCATTCTGCTCCTGACTCACATCTGGGTTGTCGTCTATGCTATGGGACCATCGCTATACTTGTATCACATAGTACTAGCTACTGAATCCTTATAATGTCTTGATTTCTTGTAGGGCAAGTCCTCCAACTTGGGTTCTTCTTCAAAAGAATGTTCTTGGCCCTTTGCTCTTCCACATAAGCTTCAGAATTTTCTTGTCACATTCCAAAATTTTTAAGATTTTGATTGAAATTGCATTTAATCTATAGATAAGTATGAAAAGAACTGGCATCAGTATAGTATTGAGTCTTACAATTCAAGAAAATTAGAAGTCTATGTATTTACTTTTTGTGTTCTGTATTCCTTCCTGCATCTCAAATCTTTCATCTGGGATCACTTTTCTACTACCCAAATTATTTCCCTTCCAGTGAGAAGCTACTGATGGTAAACTCAGTTTTCTTTGTTTGAAAATGCCTTTATATCACCCTCATTCTTTGAAAAAAAATATTTTGCTTGAAGCTCAAGGGTCAGCGAACTATATCCTGCAGATCAAATCTGGCCGTCGCCTGTGTTTGTAGTTTTATTGGAACGCACCAAATCCATGTGTTTACATATTGTTTATGGCTGCTTTCAAAATACAATGGCAGAACTGAGTAGTTATGACAAAGACCATCTGACCCGCAATGCCTATATATTTTAATATACATAAACTTTATTTAAAACATAAATGTTATTATATATCATGATATATAATAATACATATTTCTCTGTCCATTTAAAGAAGAAGTTTGTTAACCTCTGATACAGACCTCTAAAATGGCTGTCACTTTCTTTCAACACACTGAAGACATCTTTCCTCTGACTCCTGGCTTCCTTTATTGCTGCTGAAAGTCTGTGAAGGTATTCTGCCTTTATCTTCTATCTAGCTACTTTTAAGATCTTTTTGTCTTTTGCATTCTACAGTTTCACTCTGGTATGTCCAGGGATGGATTTCTTTTTATTTATCCTGAATTGGATTAATTGTGCTTCTTGAATCTATGTTTTGGCATTTTTCATCAGTTCTTAAAAATTCTGACATTATCACTTCTAATCTCTTCCTCTACTCCATTCACCCCCTCTTCTCTTTCTGAATTCCTATTAGACATATGTTCAATCTTCTTAACCTCTCTCTTATTTTCCTTTTATCTCTTTGTGCTTCATTCTGTTCATTTCTGTAGATCCATCTGCCAATTCACTGATTTTCTCTGCAGCTGTGTCTAATCTACTATTAAAACTACCCATTACATTTTAAATTTTGATTACTGTATTTCTCATTAATAGAAGCTCTATTTGCCTCCTTCTCAGATCTGCTTATTCTTTACAGTTTGTTTCCTGCTCAAATAGTCAAGTACTCCTTTCTTACTTTAAGCATAATTATTTCTATTCTGTATCTGATAATTCTAATATCTGAAATCCTTGTGGATCTGTTTGTGCAGCCTGTTGTTTCTGCTGGCTCTTGCTCACAATGCTTTGTTTCCTTGGTTTTATAATCTTTGACTGGAAGCTACTCGTTTTCCATGGAAACGTGTCTGTGGGAATTCTTTTTTTTTTTTTTAATTGTGCTTTAAGTGAAAGTTTACAGTTCAAGTTAGTTTCTCATATAAAAATTTATACACACACTGTTATATGAACACAGTTGCTCTCCCTATAATGTGACAGCACAGTCCTCCTTTCCACCCCGGATTTCCTGTGTCCATTCAACCAGTTCCTGTCCCTTTTTGCCTTCTCATCTCACCTCCAGACAGGGGCTGCCCATTTAGTCTCATGTATCTACTTGAGCTAAGAAGTACTCTCTTCATGAGTATCATTTTATGTCTATGTCTTATAGTCCAGTCTAATCTATGTCTGAAGAGTTGGCTTTGGGAATGGTTTTAGTTTGGGGCTAACAGACAGTCCACGGGCCATGTCTTCCGGGGTACCTCCAGTCTCAGTCAGGTCTTTTTACTAGAACTTGAGTTCTGCACCCCAACTTTTCCTGCTCCGTCAGGGACTTTCTGTTGTGTTCCCTGTCAGGGTGGTCATTGGTGGTAGCCAGGCACCATCTAGTTCTTCTGGTCTCAGGCTGATAGTCTCTTGTTTTATGTGGCCCTTTCTGTCTCTTGAGCTAATATCTTCCTTGTGTCTTTGGTGTTCTTTATTCTCCTTTGCTCCAGGTGGGTTGGAACCAACTGATGCATCTTAGATGCCGCTTGCTAGCTTTTAAGACCCCAGACACCACTCACCAAAATGGGATGCAGAACATTTTCTTAATAAACTTTGTTATGCCCGTTGACCTAGATGTTCTCTGAAACCATGGTCCCCAGACTCCTGCCCCTGCTACTCTGTCCAAGGTGTTTAGCTGTATTCAGGAAACTTCTTAGCTTTTGGTTTAGTCCACTTGTGCTCACTTCCCCTGTACTGTGTGTTGTCCTTCCTTTCACCTAAGATAATTGTTATCTACTATCTAGATAGTGAATACCCCTCTCCCTCCCTCCCCATCCTCATAACCATCAAAGAATGTTTTCTTCTGTGTTTAAACTATTTCTTGAGTTCTTATAATAGTGGTCTCATAAATATTTTTTCTTTTGCAACTGACTAATTTCACTCAGCATAATGCCTTCCAGATTCATCCATGTTATGAGATGTTTCTCGGATTCATCATTGCATAGTATTCCATTGTATGAACATACCATAATTTGTTTATCCATTCGTCCGTTGATGGACACCTAGGTTGTTTTCATCTTTTTGCCATTGTGAACAGTGCTGCAGTGAACATAGGTGTGCATATATCTATTCGTGAGACGGCTCTTATTTCTCTAGGATCTATTCCAAGGAGTGGGATTGCTGGATCATATGGTACTTCTATTTCTAGCTTTTTAAGGAAGTGCCAAATCGATTTCCAAAGTGGATGTACCATTTTACATTCTGTGAGAATTCTTTGAGGCCTGGACAAAGGTGGTTTCTTCAAGAAAAGATCTGTGTTTGCCTCTGCGAGAATCTAAGGCAATAATAGTTGAGGATTACTTTAAATAAAATTCATAATTTGAGTATTTTTTAACCAGCCAAGTGGTGTGAATTCATAACACAAACTCATTTAGAGGACCAACTTATCACTATGAATTCTTAAACTATTTTTCTCCCTCCAGCAAGACCAATATTTGAGACAAAAAATTTCCCTTGTGGACAGCAAGGAGGGGAAGGGCAAATTTATTTCTAATTCATCTCTACATGCAGCTCTTTGTGTTCTCTGATTTATGGAGAAGGGTCTCTTAGTGGACTCTTTACTTCAGGCAAGCTCTGAGTTTTTTATCTCCTCCACCTTTCAATACTATAAAACTGAAGTTTCTGTTCACTTGGTTTTACAAATCCCCTCATGGCAAAAGTCAATGTCAGTGCTCAGCTTATCCCTGTAGGTTTTAGCTTTCACTTAGCTTTCGGCCTGTTCATCAATGCATTTGAGATGTTTTCAGTATCTTACCCAGTGTTTTTAGCATGAGAGTTCATTAGGCCACCTAATCTGCCATATTTCCTGAAACAGAATCCTCTGAACTGTTTCTGTAAGCCAAGGAAACAAGTTTTATCTATTACTCCATGATTGCTTTATGGCAGAAGATGTTTTTCATCAAATTTCTTTCGATAGACGTTGAGCCTCTCACTCTGATCTTTCCTCATGTGGCAATGAAAGAAAGGTGCGTGTTCACCCACCTTCCTGTGCACCTGTCCTATATTGTTTTCTACTTACTCTTACTTGGTACCAAGGAGGAATAACATTCTAGTTGTTCACGTCCTCGAGGACAGAGACTACTTCTTATTCTTCTGTGTACATAGTAAGCCCTCAGTATATGTTAAGTGACCCAATCAACCTGCTATGGTAAATTCAGCTCCCATTTTCCAAGCCAAATAAGCTCTGCTCAGGCCAAAGGCACTGTCCAACTCCAGGGGGCTTTACTCAGTGTATTGTATGTAAATGAAACTCCCTGGAGCCATGCAATGTGATGATACTGAACCTGTCCCTTCCATCTAGCCCTAAAAATTCTACTTTAATGTTTATTTGTAAGTCTTTGATATACAAAGAATATTATTCCATATTAGTGGGTCATTTACTAGCCTCTTTTATTTTTTAAACTAAGCAAAACTGCTTCCTTCTGAAGGTAGATAACCCACAAATAACAAGGTTATTGTATCAACATCTTTATCTTGCAACTGATACTGTCAGAATGCCAGAGATGATATACCAAAAAACAGGTAGAACTATAAAAACAGTATTCCAGAAGAGAGTGACCAGAAATCACCTGGTTTCCCCTTGTCTGTGTGGGTGGTATTTAAACGTATGAAATCATATAGCTAGGGAACAGGGCAAGGAGGTTGACTTTCATGCCCTGTTCCTGATAACACTTGTCCAAATATTAGGAAATAACATACACTGGAAAGAGCTACCTTCATACTGGAAATAATATCTCAAATGAAAATAGTTCTAGGAATCTGACCGCCCCCAGCTATGCAAGGCAGAAGGCAGCCCCGTGTGTTTTTCCCTATTTCCCTAAGGCGACTAAGGGAGGTTTTCCTGCTCCTGCCTGAGAATCAAGTTTCTCTAGTTTTAAAGCTCATTTTAAAACTTTGTGATTTCAGGAAGATGTTCTAAACGATGAAATCGACCTGAAATGGCAAAAATCTACTTTGGAACATATCCCTGAGGTTTAAAGTTTTCCACCTTATTCAGAAAAAGCAATGCTATTCCTGGGCAAGTAGATGGTCTTACTGAGACTTCACAACAATTTGTGGCACACCTACTAGATAAAAGCTGGAACCTTGCATTCCCCACCCTTGGCTCAACTACTCAGTACCTGCAGAAGAGAAGGCAACACTGGTGAGTTCGTGACTCCGACTGCTGCATTGATAGTTTCCACAGCCGCCAACATCTGGCAGAAATACATCATGTCAGCCACGGTGTGAAATGTGTCATAGAAGGACTCTATGGGCACAAATAACATTAGGGGTAAATCAACTGGCAATTCCGACAGAATTATTTCTCAAACTAGACAACTCCTTACATAAAAGGAACTTTAGAAAAGGTACACAAAAGTCAGATTCAGCTTTACTACCCAACTAAGTTGGGAGAGATCAGGCCCCTAAGGTCATAGAGCATAAACTCTGCTGGTTCCCAGAAAGTTAACACTAAGGCCTTATACTTTTCTCATTTTTAAAAGCAAGAAAAAAACACACCTAGACTTCATGCAGTTAATGTACACTGAAAATCTATGTATCAGGCACAGTATAATTCTTTTCAGAGACACTATCATTTAACTTAAAGTTAAAACTATACAACATATATTGAATGCAATCTAGCCTTTTATGATCTCAAAAACTGTATAATCATAAATGCACATGTGCAAAAGTATTGCTGAATAAGCTTCCAAAAACCTTAACTGCATTTATTTTTTTTTCAATTTATTTTGTTATTGTTGTTGTTGAGAATATACACAGCAAAACGTACACCAACTCAACAGTTCCTACACGTATAATTCAGTGACACTGATTACATTCTTCGAGTTGTGCAGCCATTCTCACCTTCTTTTTCTGAGGTGTTCCTCCCCCATTAACATAAACTCACTGCCCCCTAAGGCTGCTATCTAATCTTTCGAGTTGCTGTTGTTGATCCCACATAAACAGCCTTAACGGCATTTATATCTTTATAACGGCATTTATATCTTTAGACCTAACAATTCTTATTCTGAGAATCAGTCCCAACTACAAAATATAAAATGAAATAAAAAAAGCTTTATAAACAACGTTGTTCTCTGAAACATTATTTGTTAGTGCATTAAAGTAGGAACAGTCTGAACGGCTAAAAGTACAAAAAGTCTCAGTAAACTACGGTATATCCAACTTGACGGAATACCGCAAAATTTTAAATGACGGTTATTGCTCACTGAGGTCAGCAAATGTCGTGTCAATTCTGAGTGGGCCATAAAATAATATCCTGTATTCTTCACAGTGGTCCTCACTTGACAGCCTGCTTCCTGCATTCTTCCTTGCTGTGTTTCTCAACTAGGACACCACTGACATTTTAGGCAGGACAATTCTTTGCTTGTATATTGCAGAAAGCTTAGGATCCCTGGCTCCTTGCCTACAAACAGTACCTCCGAATCATTGTGACAACCAAAAACAATCCTCAAATTAGGCATTTCCGAATGTCCCCAGGGGGCAAACTGCCCTGACCAAAAACCACTGGTAAAGGGAATCATCATCTCTGTGTTAGTAATCTAAATTCTGTTAGAAGTTCCACAGAGAAGCAAAAATTAGAGCTGAAAAATTATCACCAATGAACCACAACTTATGAAATCAGTCTCCATTTAAACATCCCTCCCCACTGAACTCTGGGCCTATTTATCACATCCAGGTCTCGGTCGTCATCCTTCCCCACTGTCCGCAAACAGAATGAACAAACAGAATGAACAAATAGAATGCAAACAGGAGGAACAAAAATTGCAAAATGAAATTACAAATCTCTTTAAAAGGCATAGGCTACTCCTGAAATCAGTTCAATTATTGATGGAGAACTGTTCTAAATACAAATAAAGACACTTACGCACGAGGCTCTGGCAGTTAGGTCAGTTACCAGCAAAGATTTCACTGTAGAAGCCTCAAAGAGAATGGTTTAAATATGAGATGAATAAAAGGGGCCCTTGCAAAAACTGAGAAACCCTCTAATATTTTCACAAAAATTATCCAATTTATGATCCTGCTGCATAGTCAAATGTGAAGGGAAAAATGGTATATAGTGCTACTGCATAATTTTGTCAGAAAAAATGCACCAAAAAACAGTTCAAAATTTGACTAGTTCTTTTTATTCAAGAATTAATGTTAAGTTACAATTTAAATTTTGTTACATATAAGATAAAAAAACTTATTTTCATAATCTTAAATGTCACTTTTCATGATAAAATCCGAATCAAACATTTGTGTTACCGTTTACAATGAAATTTTGCTATCCCTTTTAAGGAGATTCACTTTAAGTGGCATTCTTCCTAGAAAGTGAGGCCCTCCCAAGCTCTGAAATAGAGGACTGTGACTTAAAATTTGGCACATGGTTATTGAAAATGAGATCTTGCTGCTTTGCGTCTGAGTTTATGAGATATTCATCCCTGTTTCAATTCAGGAATATAAACCTGTTTCTAAAATGATAGTCATAAAGAATATTAATAACTTTAAATGCTTATAATATTAAGTTTAAAAAACAAGATGCAAAATCATATACACATACGATTATAGTAATTACTATTTTTTTTTTAACTGCAGAAGAAAAAAGAATAGAAGGAAACTCATGGAAATATTAATAGTGACGGGACAAAGACTTATTTCCTCCCTCAACACTTAGCCCAGTTTTCTCTATTTTTTAAACTTTCTTAAATCAGCATACTAACTTTTATGATTTGAAAAAAAGTTTTTGAAAAATACTAAAAGGCACTCATATGCTAATGAATATGGGTTTAAATAATGGGAGAGGACTTTCTGTACACACTCTTTCTGGAGACAAATTTGGAAGTATACATCACAATCCTTAAAAACAATTTGTCCTTTGATCCTGCAATTTCACTTTAGAAATTTTTCCTAAGGAAGTGATTAAGGATACTTACAATAATTTAGCTACAAGGATGTCTACCAGAACACTGTTCATAATAGTAAACAGTTCAGAACCAACTAAATATCTAACAATGACTAGTTAAAAATTACTGTATGTCAATTCACAAAATGCAGCCATTTGAAGTGACATGACAGAAGTATCTTCACTGACATGGAAAGACGCTCATGATGTTCTATTTGGTGAAAAACAAAGGCTGCATAATATTCATGTTATGATCCTAAGTGCTTTTTGGTTTTTTTTTTTTTTAAATACCTGAGTTTAGAAAGATAAACAAACACCAAGGAACCAAGAATCTGTTGCCATCACGGACAGGATTATAGTAAGGGTGGTTTGTTTGTTTTTGTTTCTGATTTTGCTGTAATTAACACTTATTATTTTTATAACTAGGAAAAAAATTAAAATGTTTAAAATAAAACTGTATTCCTTAATAGAGAGCTAGGCAAGCCCTGGAGTTTCTAGACAAGCCAGGAAGTTTGCCCCTGCCTTCCACTTAGCGTAAGAAGTCTGGCAAGTTCGTGTTTACATGAAAGGACAAGTACCGGCAGAGAATTTGCCATTCACCCACATCCCTAATTCAAGAGGAGAAAATGCAAAGAGCAAACTATGACGCCGGGTACCAGTCCGACGTTCTCATCACGTCTTTGAGAACTGATAAGGGGAGAATTCAAGAACAGGAAGGTGCAGCCAAAACAGAAATTACAAGTCCAAGCAGCTTTCTTTCTTTTTTCTGGCAGCTTTCTTTAAACATGACCCAGCTAAGCTAGCAGCTTTGGGACTGGATCACCTAACAGCCAGCAGGCTTGAGTGGAACACTCAGGATTGATCCAGCTGTGTTAGGTTAAACAAAGTATTTATGTATTTGAATGTCACTATTTTCATTCCAGGAGCGCTGGTGGCACAGTGGTTAAGCACTCGACTGCTAACCGAAAGACTGGCAGTTAGAACTCACCAGCTGCTCCGTGGGAGAAAGATGTGGCAGTCTGCCTCTGGAAAGATTTACAGCTTTGGAAACCCTGTGGGCAGTTCCAACTCTGTCCTATAGGGTTGTTATGAGTCGGAATCTACTCGACGGCAACTGGTTTTTGTTTTTTTTTTAAATTTCCATTCCATGGGACTTGTGATAAAGCCCTGTTAATAAAAGCTGCAGGTCTGAGAACTGTCTGAGACTTCCTTTGTTTCTTCAAGTAAATTATCTGTAGACCTATAGTCACACATGACTACAGCAGGGGCACATTATCCAATAGGCAAGGTAAGCACAGTGCTTACCATGCTTACCAGATCACCTGTAGTGAACAATTTCACATTTTTTCACCACATCAAAGACTCTGCTTCTACGTATGACATCTGTCTCCCTCCCAACCCCACAGCACCTTTCTATAGAATCAAAACCTCTTTTCAAATTTACAATCCCTAACAGAGGTGGAGAGCCCTGCTGGTGCAGTGGTTAAGAGCTACAGCTGCTAACCAAAAGGTCAGCTGTTCAAATCCACCAGCTGCTCCTTGGAAACCCTATGGGGCAGTTCTTCTCTGTCCTATAGGGTCACTATGAGTCGGAACTGACTCAGCGGCAGTGGGTTTGCTTTGGCTGGACAGGAGTGGATGACCCAGTAAGCAAGGTAAGCGTGGGCTTACTTACTTACTAATCTGCGGTGAACAATTTCACTACAGATGCTTTACTGGATAATCCGCCCCTGACTACAGGAGACTGGATATTTGGGAAGGGTTTTTTATAGCCTGTCACTATGTGCTGCAGAATTCCAAGGTGCTGAGAAGGCTAAAAAGCAGTATTTCTTCCTCTGTCAAATGACTCTACAGTTAACTACAATTCACATCCTACAAGTCTCAGATGGGAACATCTGGGGCTGAAGAATAGTCTACTTTTTTTTTCCCCTCTTTAAATAGAGTTCATCATATATTTTTCTACTATACTTTTAATTTTCCCCATATTTATTTTTACAAACCATAGAAAATGTTTAAAAATTTTAAGTACAGGCAGTCCCCGGCTTATAAACAAGATCCGTTCCTAACTGTGTCTGTAAGTCAAATTTGTAGGTAGTCGAACGGGCAAAGGGTTCTTATTTAGCCTTACTTCAGTGCAAGAAAA